CGGAGCAGGGCGAACTGGACAGGTTCTGATTCTTCACCCCAAAGCAACCCAACACCATCTTGGAACAGTCTCCTCCACGCCAAGAAGAGTGATTTCTATGTTCAAGCTGGACCTAGAAAAATATCACAATTTGTAATATGACCGTTAAATATTTAATTGGAAAAGACCCACATTTTACTTCTTTAAAAAACCCTAAAGTGAGCCGGGCGTTGGTGGCACACTCCTCTAATCTCAGTACTTGGGAGGCAGAGGCAGGCGGAACTCTGAGTTTGAGGCCAGCCTGGTCTGCAAGAGGTAGTGCCAGGACAGCCTCCAAGGCTACAAAGAAACCCCGTCTGGGGGGGGGGGGACCAAAAACCAAACCACAAAAGTCAATAGGCACCCTATGTTCCTGTGACAGATGAAGTTTTTGTCTCCTGAAGTAACATAAGTAATCCATATTTAAAATAAAACTTGTGATTTTTTTCTCTGAGATACCACTTCACTCCACGGGTATGAATGTAAGGCAAAAACGACTAGGTTCAATCCCAACATTTAAACCGGGCGGTGGTGGCGAACGCCTTTAATCCCAGCACTCGGGAGGCAGAGGCAGGTGGCTCACTGATTTCAAGACCAGCCTGGTCTACAGAGCAAGTTTCAGGACAGCCTTCAATCCACTGAGAAACCCTGTCTGGAAAAAACCAAAAAACAAAACAAAACCCCCAAAGTGAACAGACACCCTATGTTCCTGTAACAGATTAATTTTTTTCTGCTGAAGTAACATAAGTAACCCAGATTTAAAATAAAACTCTGATTTTTTTTTATTCCGCTGACATACCACTTCACTACACAGGCATGAATTCAGGGAAAAATATAGGTTTAAGACCCAGGATTTAAGCCCGGTGGTGGCACACTCCTTTAATCCAGCACTGGCGGGCAGGGTTGAGAGGCAGAGGCAGGAGGATCTCTGTGAGTTCAAGACTAGCCTGGTCTACAAAGCGAGTGCCAGACAGCCTCCAAAGCCACAGGGAAACCCTGACTTGACTCCACCCCCCAAAAAAAAGTCCCAGCATATAGGCATTTATGAAAGGAAGCCTCTCTCGTGTCAGAACTAGCATACATAATTCATCACATTCCAGGCCATCATCTCTGTGACCTCAGCATTCAGAAAAGGCATTCTTCCACAGCAACAAACAAATTTGCGTCTGCTTATTTGTTGAGACGGGTCTCCTTGCAGTTCTGGCTGTCCTGTAACCCTCTACATAAACCAGGCTGACGTCAAACTCGCACCAGTCTGCATGCTTCTGCTTCCAGAAGGCAGGGCCCTCCACACCTGACTTTAAAGGTTTGCTTTTAAGTAGTATACCAGTGCTTGGCAGTGGTGGCACACACCTTTAACCCTGCACTAAGAAGGCATTGGCAGGTTGGTCACTGAGTTCAAGGCCGGTTGACACTCACTGCTCTGAGTGATCAGCCCCAGAGACTGAGTTTTAGCGAGGATGATGTGACCGCACTTTTGCCCTGACACCCCAAGTCCAAAAACTGCAAAGAAAAAAAAAAGCCTCGGAAGTCAGGGCATCAGAGGGAGGTCGGCGTGGAGCAGAGTCCCAAATGGGACCTGGTGCCCTAGAGCTGGAGGCCCTTACCGCACATCCCACCAGGTCCCCCGGCCTTGGCACAGTGGCCGTAGGTAGCGGACTCATAAGGCCACCCGGTCCTCCCTGCCACCCATGCTTGGAAGCCACTGGTCTTCCCTTTGTCCGAACCTTTTGTCCAAAGCAAACCTGTCCAAATGCAGGTAGGCCGCCCCTACTCACGAGGTATTTCTCGGTGCAGAAGATGGAGCGAAGTATTCAGCGATTTTCCAGCAGAAGCGTCTAACACTGCAGCAGGCAAAGCCAACTCTGCACAGATCTGAGAAGTAGCAGCCATATAAACAGACGGATTCCACGCCCTCCTGGTGACGTTGTCCAATGAGAGAGTAGTAGACTGCAAGGGGGCAGGACTAAGACTCTACAGAGGCTCCACCCTCTGGCCCTGATGCCTGACCACACCCTGTGGCCTTGGAGTTTCCCAGGCACTGAGCTTCTCCTTGGTGTGTGCTCAGAGCCCTGGATCCCCTGCTCTGGCCACTGGGACCACACCTTCACCCCTTGCTGGCTCAACTTTCCCAGGCCTCCCATTGCAGACAAGGAGCCCTATCTGGCCTCCTGGTGGGATTTGAACTTACATCATCCCCACATTACCAGCTCACCTACAAGTTAACAAATTTCCAGAGTAATCCTGTTGTTTCAGGCAGAGACCCAGGGTTAGGGATTATCTTGGTTTGATGACTTCGCCTGGTTTCCATAGCTGTCTAGGCCTCCTCCTCGAAAGAATTAAACATTCAAGAGGGAAGCTGAGGTCACCACACCCGCTTCAGAGACACACCAGGTGACTCAGACTTGCAGATCTACTCATAACTTCTGTGCTGTGGTGCCTACAATTTAATGACATATCAATATCTTTGCACGATTGCATTTCCTAGACAAGTTCACTCAGTTTAATATGAACGCATTTACTTTTAACCTGCAATCTATGTCGTGTCTTCTCTTGCATTTCCTGGTGTGATAGGTATTATATCTCAACGACATGACTCTCTGAGGGTCAGGAAAACATCTTTTGTTTTGTTTGTGTGTGTTTGTTTTTGTTTTTTGAGACAGGGTTTCTCTGTGTAGATTGGCTGTACTCAAACTTACTCTGTAGACCATAATAGCTTTGAACTCAAAATGATCCACTTTTCTCTGCCTCCCACGTGCTTGGATTAAAGGTGTGCACCACCACTGCCTGTCTGCATCTTGTGTTCTGGAAATGTGTGCTGGGAAGCTCACACAAACTCAGTATGGGATTATTTTGTAGGGATTAAGATTAACTCATAGCCGGGCGTTGGTGGCCCACGCCTTTAATCCCAGCACTTGGGAGGCAGAGGCAGGCGGATCTCTGTGAGTTTGAGGCCAGCTTGATCTCCAGAGCGAGTGCCAGGATAGGCTCCAAAGCTACACAGAGAAACCCTGTCTCGAAAAACCAAAAAAGAGATTAATTCGTAGGGATTTATCATTCATTGTTATCCATAAACCACAAGTATCATACATTCACCTGAGCCTTGAAATCCTGTTCAAATTGGTTATTCTTAGCTGCTGGTGCCACAGCTAGAGAGTCATGGAAAAGTTTTCTCTGCAGTTCCTTGGTGGTTTTTCCTTCTCAGACAGGGTCTCGTGTAGCCTAGGCAGTATTTTGGAGCTACTATATAATTAATCTTGGCTAGCATTCAACTCCTGATCCCTCTTAATCCACCTCCTAGATCAAACAGGCCTGGCATCCTAGCTAGCATGTAGAAGCAATAAAGGGTCCTAACTTCCACAACCTTTTAAAGGACTGGCATTTAAATGTGAAACAGGGCAACATGTCAAGCCACAATAACGTCTATACTTTAGCACCAAGAGGTCAGGGCCAATATTCTTAGTTTCCATTTTGCACCCTATACTGTGACTTCATAATATTTTGGAAAACGTTGATTAAATCTTCCATAGACCATCGGTATCCACACCTTTAATACTGCAGCTCCATAGTACAAACCAAGGTAATCTCTGTGAGAATGAGAACTGCCTGGTCAACATAGTGCATTTCAGATTAGCCTAGGCTAAACGAGAAATCTTGAATCGACCGAAAATAAAACGAAACCATTGTGATGGAATCAGTGTGGATTCTTGGGGGTGGGACTGAAATCTGAAGGCAGGCACCAAAGGGTGGTCGTGGGTAATGGATTTGAGGCTCAGTGAGGAGGAAAGTTCTAAAGAGTGGGTGAAGCTTTTGGAGTTTTTGGATGATAATTCAGCACTGGTCCATGTAGTAGCCCTCATACACACACAGGGATCTGAGCCAAGTGTAATAGCCATTGATTTCCTGGTGACTTAAGACCCGAAGGTGTGTTCAGTAGGGAGGTAATAGTGGCGGGTGGGGGGGGCTTCCTTGATGAGGAGAAACGGTGCTAGAGGAAGAGCCTTGATAACCCTTTGGAGACTGGATGTGTGTTTGGAGTTTGAAATTCACCATATTTCCAGCTTGATGGGTAGAAGGTTCAGTGAGAATTCAGGAGCTGTTTGCAAGTTTACCCTGTAAATATCAACACTGAGAACATGATGACGATAGAGATTGGGGTAGCTAGGATAACAGAGCAAGAGGGGAGACAAGAGGGACATAGGAGAAAGTGGTAGGGAGAAGAAGAGGGGGAGGAAAACATGAGGGGTCAGGAATATTGAGTGGGGAGAGGAATAGAGGAGAAGAGAAGAGATACCTCAATAGTGGGAGCCATTATAGACTTAAAGAGAAATCTGGCCCTAGGGGATTGTACAGAGATCCACAAGGATGACCCCCACCAGGAACCTAAGCAATAGTGGAGAGGCTACCTTAGTGTCCTTCCCCTATACTGAGAATGATGACTACCCTAAATGCCATCCCAGAGCCGTCATCCAGTAGCTGATGGAAGCAGAAACGGACACCCACAGCTAAACACTGAGGCCAACTCCAGGAATCCAGTTTCAGAGAGGGAGGATTGACCGACAAATGGACCAAGACCATGCTGGGTAAAGCTGCAGAAACGGCTGGCCTGAGAAAGTGGGAAGTCATGGTCCCCAGTCTGACAGCTGGAGAACCAACATCAGACCAAACCAGGCCCCTGAGCAGCCTTCATACAGTAGCCGAGGGAAGCAGATGCAGTCACCCCCAGCTAAGCACTGAGCCATACTCCTGGAATCCAGTTGTAGAGAGGGAGAAGGGATGAGCAAAGCAGTCAAGACCTTGCTGGAGAAACCTACGGAACCAGATGACCT